CCAAAGGATGCAAAGATAGGTAATATCTGAGATCAACTCCTCCAAGGTTCTGCTTTTATTGTCAAAGATACGGGTGTTTCTTTCATCCCAAACACCCCACATTACTGCATGAGGCACTGATTGCCAAAAGACTTTATCCCTTTTGCTAAGCCCTATTTGAATGAAAATTTAAAAATACAATCAAACATATAAAACATTTTCAAGCATGTAAAACCCACAACTCTTTTTTTCCTCAATTGCATTACTTCAAGTATCTAATGTGATGTAAAACATATTATATTACTGATTCTACGAGCCGCCTTTGTGCCACACCCCTCGAGGCAAGCCCAAACAAGTCCATGTTAGGGTTTTAAATTCTTAGTTACCACTTTAAAAATAATGATTTTATAATTTTAATTGCTTTTTAAGAAGATATTTTATTAGGATGAATGGATGAACAACATTAGCTTAACATGGACTTGTTTGGGCTTGCCTCAAGAGGGGTGGCAAGGGGGTCCAGGGGCAGAGGCCTTGGCCCAGCTGCTAGGTTCCAAAAAAGCAAAAAAAAAAAAATGTTAAATTTTCAAAAGTCGCATGCCTGGGCTGAGGCGCACCAGGCATGCACCTTTTGAAAGGGCTGCACCTAGGACCTAGGCGAGGCGCATACCCTAAAATGTGCCTCGCCTGTGTGCATAGGCATGCCTCAGATGCGCCTTTTAATTCACTGGTCACATGTGTTAACAACCCTAAGAGTCATTTCCCACAGAAATGGTTTAATTTTTGGTGGTGTAGGTCCAACCAGAACCTTGTGATAAGGGAACTGTGATGGGGATAAAGGTTCTTCGTTTAGAGCCTTGAAACGGATTTACAGGAGTATTGTCCCAAGGGATCCACTGATCATACCTTATTATCATGACCCTCTCTAAGGATGAACACCTTATTAAGGATTTCAATCAGTTAAATAACATCCTCACTTTTACATATCAAAAAGAAAAAAGAAATCTCACTTTCCATTTCTCTAAGGCCTCTTCTAAAACTGAAATCCAAGATAATCCTGAAGGGGGGAAAGTCCTGAGGCCCCAACATTGTTTTTATGGTTGCTGGTTGGGGCATAATTGCATAAAGTCTGGGATATCGTTGGCAAGGTGGTCCTTCTTTCCAAACTCCTAAAAGAGAGTGCAAGGAAGGGGGTTCCAAAAAGAATTGTCTCTGAGTGCAAAAGATTCATGCCTGTGATCATTATTCTTTTAAGACTTCTGGAGTCTGGAGAACTTATATTATAACTCTGCTTTCATAATGTCTAACCCTTTTGAACATACTTCCAAATGTCTCTTAATGAGTTGCTTTTACATCTGATATGCTGCATACCTTTAGTTGTTCATATAGTCAGGAACCTGATTTTCCATTTCTTTTTCTTGTCAATTTGCTTTCAGATGTACCAAAAGTGTGGTCAGGTTGAACGTGCTGTTAGCATTCTTGAGGACTATATCAAAGATCATCCAACTGATACCGATTGGGCTGTGGTTAATGTACTAGCTTCCATACACATGGAAACTAATTCATATGCTAAAGCTCTTCAGCAGATTGAAAATATACAATCCACTTACTCCTCTGAAAAGGAGTTTCCACTACATCTAATTGTGAGGGCAGGAATTTGCAATGTTCATCTTGGTAACATGGAAAATGCTGAGGTTTGTTTCATTCTGTGTGTATTTTAACTTGCTCTTAAGATTAATTTGAACTATAGGTTATAACTCTGAATTGCGTGTTGAGCTTTTAAAAGAGCTGATAGCATCTTTGTGCGATTATGGTCCTTGAAGAAATTTTGTTGGCATATTTCTCTGCATATATTAACTATGGTTATGTGTAGGTGGCATTTATGAAATATGATATCGATCTCTGTGCAGATGTGTTTCTGACATCAATTATGTGTACATGTTTCTCTGAATATATGGACAAATGCTTATATCTGTTGGTAGTCCCACATTTTCTATTCAGGGTTATTTTCCCCAGTATTTAGATAAACAGGGACTGCAATATCCTTTCCCTTTTATTTGAGTATGATATAAATATTAGTGAGAGTGGTTGAATGACCTGTCTGTCACATTCACTCATATCTTCTTTTCTCCTATTCTTTCTGTTCTCTGTTGTATTTGTGTTTTCTTTTTGAATCTTCAACTAAACCACTTCAAGTTGGTATTAGATGTTAGAGCTATAGTTGGATATTCTTGAGATCATTCTCTGCTGATTTAGTGGTTCCTTATGACCTGTTGATATCAGCAGTTCTGTGGCAGGTTGCAACTTGCACAAAGGAAGAAATGGAAGACAAGATGCCAGACGCAACCTGCAGAGTGCACTACTGACCAAAAAAATAAGTCACTGATTGAATGTTCAAACCTTGTTTGATTTGGTTGAAATTTGGTGGCATTAAATTACACTTATAGTACTCCAATACTATAGATTTTCAGTTCAGTCCTACATGTGGAAGTATCCAACTAAAGGATTTAAGGTGACTGATTTTTGGGTTCTGCAATTATCTTCAAAATGAGGTGAACAGGTTGACTGGTGGAACTTCACTGCCATTTATAATAATTCCTTTGGTTGCTATTTATAGTAACTTTCACGATTACTATTTATAGTCTATCATGTCTAATAATTTTTATTAATTTCTAATTTCTTATAGTGAGAGAATTGTTGAGTTATAGTATCCAAGTTTGAAAAAGGAAATTTCTACTTTTTTTTTTTGAAATCTGAATATAATTAGCAGCTAGAGTCCAAGTAGGAGTTTTTTATTTTTCTTTTTTTTTTGGTGGGTAAATGCCAGTGTCTTTGCACTTATCTAGTTGTCTCTTTAGTCTCTTTGGGAGGAAATTTATCACTTAGAGGAGGTCAGGTGGTGCACATAAGACTTAAAACAAAACACAACACTTGTGAAGAACAAGGTGTTTGAGTTCTTGGCAAGATTCAACCTTGAGTTTCAGTTTGCTAAGCAACATATTCTGAGTCAGGATGTTCTAAATTTGTATGAGGTGCAGTTAGACATTGGTTTTGGGCGAGGAGAGCTAATGGTTGACAATGCAGCATTCCCAGGGTTTCTATCATGTTACTATGGCTATTACTAGACCTAGGGATGTTAATGGGTTGGGTTAAGTGGTAAATCTGCCTTGATCTAACTTTGCAGGGTTGAGTTCAGGTCAATCTTGATGGTGTTTGGAGTCAGCCTTAGGTCAAGTGAACCCGTCCTACATTGGGTTTGGGTTGATGCAGACCAATACCAAACCTGACTTATTGATGTCACTAATGTATTATTCTTTTGGTCTGTCTTGCATGACTGAAGTTAGACTTCAGAATGTTCTTTTAAGACCTCTTATCACTTCAGTTTAGATATCAGACCTGACAACATTCTTAGTTTTTATCCCCAAAGAACCTTTTGCACATTTCATTCATACTTTATTATTAGTAACATACTCCTACTATTTTTTGTTAATATTTTATAGATAAAATAGTAATCAAATTATAGTAAAATAATAAAATAGTAAGAAAATTATAACAAGGCAGTAAAATAATAACAAAAGTATTAGCAACATAATAATAAAATAATATCACAGTAGAATATTTATGGGAAACTCAAAAGTATTATTATAATATTAATATTTGTATTTTTATTTTTTATTTCCTTATTATTATTATTATCATTTCATCGTTTTATTTTTGTTTTACTATTGTTCTGCAATAGTAATAGTAATGCATTCCACGCTAGGAACTTCTTTGTATGATTAAGTTTAGATTTTTTTATAATAAGGAAAAAAAAGATATTCTGAATTATTACTGAAGTTCGCAAAATGCATTTTAGATTCTTTTCAGGGTTTTGGAGATGGAGCATGCAGATGATCAAAACGACTTAATAATTCAAGTTGCAGACACTTATATGAATCTTGGGCATCATGAATCTGCATTGAAATATTATTTTATGCTAGAGAAGAAAACTGGGAATGAAAATGTAAGAAGTGTCCTTACTCATTTTTTATGCGCGGTTACCATAATATGATACTGCTTTGACAAAGAAATATTTATATGGTTTTCCTCTTTGCTGCAGCATTGCTTAGTTTTTGGCAAGATAGGTTTGATACTAATGAATTAAAACTCTGATAATCTTTCATTTGATTTATTTGAATTACTTTCCCTAATTACATGGCCGGAGAAATTGGAGTTCGCATTTTCATGAATATGTGATAGATATATTACACAAACTTGGATGAAGAAGAATAAAGCAAAGTATGGAAGCTAAATAAACCTGATTTCAGGCAAAATTTCAGTCTATAATCCCTGGAGTTGAACCAGAGAAATGGGAAGAACTTAATACAGATTTTATTAGATTTTTCCAAATTGCTGCCATAGTGGCTTCAACAAATTATCTAGTTTCTTCCCTCAAAACCTTTTTAACAACAAATAATGATCCTCCTTCAGTTTACTTCTAGACCGCTCAAACTGATCTATAGTCTACTAAATTCACCTTAATGAGTGCATGACTTGTCACATGACTAGCTCATGGAACAGATTGTAGATTATATACCTTTAATAGAAAGACTTCAAAACTAGCTCATGGGCAACTTTTCTTATATTGCTTTTTGATGTCTTCTTCTTTATAAACTTGACAGTGATCCAATATCAACAATGCTGATGATTATTGTTTCCAAAAACATTCTTATGCAAAGGCATGGTCTATTGGATAACCCTTTGCACACCTGATTGGAATTAGCCAGAATACTTTTTCACTCTCATCATCTTTGATGTGGGATGCAGAACCTCCCATGCTAATATTCATAGGCCAGTTACTTGGATCTTAACAAAATGCAAAATTGTCAAATTTTTTCCTTATATTGTTTTTAGTAGCATTTTTCTTTTTGGTAGTATGAAAGAAATTGATTCATATATAGGAGAAATACTATATTGGAAGAAGAGAACAAGTAGTCCTCAAGTATATATATAAAAACCAATGCCAACAAAATTAGATCTTGAAAGCTTCCAGCATTTCATCCTGTTTTGTTGCAAAATCAACTTTTGATGCCATTGAACTCTTATTGAAACTATGGAGAATGTGTGGAAAGGGTGCTAATGGAGGAGAAGCTAGCAATACTGGTACTGTTAAAGGTAATGTGTACCTTTGTGAAGTTTGAGTTAGTGAAGTAAAAGTGGTACTAAATAAGATAAAGAAGGGAAAGGTGTTAAGACTTGATGGGATTCCGGTAGATGTGTGGAAAGGTATGGAAGAGGTAGTCTTGTTATGGTTAATTAAGCTATTTAATAAGATAGTAAAATACAAAAATGTGCCTAATGATTGGAGAAACACTAGTTTGGTGCCTATATTTAAGACAAAGGTGATATACGGAGTTTTAATAACTATAGGGGGATTCAACTCATGAGCCACTCTATGAAACTTTGGGAGAGAGAATAATTTAACAAAGATTACAACTTGAAATGAGTGTATTAGAGAACCAATTTGGCTTTATGCTAGGGAGATCATGCATGGAACATATATTTCCTTTGAAATAATTGTAGAAAAGTTTAGAAAGAAGAAAGATCTTCATAAGGTGTTCATTGATCTAGGCTTATGATTAGGGGTGATCATGCCTGGCCTGGAAACTTGGCCCAGCCTGACCTGCAAATTTCTCGGCCTGGGCCCAACCTGGCCTGCAATATAATATTATATGTATTTCTAAATATATTGTAGAAATGTTTTGATAACCTGTTTTGGTATAAAATTTGTAAAAGAAAGAAGAGAAAGAAGAGAGGAAAAGGTTTCTGCTAGAAAGAAAGAGAAGAGAGATAGAAGGGAATGGAGGAGAAGCCAAAAAACTAATCTGGCCACCCCCTTTCATTAGATTATTTACTCATAAATAGTGTACAAATACAAGTATGCCCTTAGTAAGTCGGCTACTTGTAAGAAGCTGAAAAGTCACACTTAACTTAAACATAAACTAATGGGCCTAAGGTCCAACAACTACCTTACTAAGTTATGTAAATAAAAACAAATAAAATCGGCCCACAACTCAACATATATAATATATAATATACATATTTTTCTATTATAATATATGTTTATTTTATATTTTATATATACACAAGCATATCTTATTTTCTATTAAATGTTTATTTTTTATATAATTATTTATGAATAGACGCATGTCAACACTTGAGTCAATTCTACCACGAGAATTGTCCTCCTAAGTAAAGCCTTTTATAGATGAAGGACTTGCCTTCATTTCCATTCTTTAGCAATGTGGGACTGGGGGAAACACTCAATAGGTTGGTTGCACTAACTATTTAGTGTTGTTCCAAGTCCCACATTGCTTAAGAATGGGAATGAAGGCCTTGCCTTCATCTATAAAATAATAGGTAAGCCAAGCCAAATCAGGCTTGGCAATTAAATGAGGCCTATACCTTATTTTTTGTGCCATGGGCCTAAAGGCTAGCCATGCCCAATTTAACTGTCTTGTACAGTATTTTTTTGCATGTATTACATGTTATTAAATATAAAGCTTTAAATAATTTAAATTTTTATTATTCGATGTCATAGGCCCAAAGTCACTATTCATTAAGCTCGGCAAGTCCGGTAACCCGGCTTGTAGGTTCGGGCTTGGGCTTGCAATCTAGGCCCAGGGTACTGATTGGGTTGGACTTGGATTTAGGTTAAAGACATTATTGGTGCTAAACCCGACGCAAGACCAGACTGGCCCGGCCCATGATCACCCCTAGTTAGGATAGAATTCCTAGATAGATAATATGTTGGGTCTTGGAAAGAAAGGGGTTCAAAATAGGTACATAGACCTAATTAAGTCATCATGGGCCAGATTGGCCCGACCCATGATCACCCCTACTTAGGATAAAATTCCTAGATATATAATATGGTGGGTCTTGGAAAAGAAAGGGGTTCAAAATAGGTACATAGACCTAATTAACGATTGTAGGTGGGGGTAACAATCAATGTTAGAACACCGGTGGGAGAGACTTAATATTTTACAGTTATGATGTCGTGTCTTCACCAAGGTTTAGCACTTAGCCCTTATCTATCTGCATGGTGCATCTTGTTTGCAGATGACATTGTTTTAATTGATGAAAATAATGAAGGATTAAATTCCAAATTAAGCTTATTAAAAAATGCCTTAGAAATAAGAGGTTTTAAAATAAGTACTAAAACAAAGTATATGACATGTAAATTTAGTAATAATTGGAGTATAAATCAGGATACACTTAGGGTTGGAGACCAAGAGATAAATCAATGTAACCATTTTTAGTAACTTGGTCCAGTAATTCATAACAAGTGAGAGATTGAGGAGGATGTCACTGAATGAAGAGTATATTGGGAAAAATGGAGGGGTGCATTTGGACTTTTGTGTGAGAGGAGAATACCACTTAGATTAAAAGGAAAATTCTATAGAACAGTTGTAAGGCCAACTATGTTGCATGGTGCAAAGTGTGGCAGAAATTCAGATACTAAGATGGATGAGTGGAAAATGAGAGATAGTAGGCCACCAACAGCTCCAATTGGGGATAAAATGAGAGAGAGTAGACTAAGATGGTATGGTCACATGCATAGAGGACTACCAATAGCTGTAGTAGAAGTTATTTGTTACCATAGTTGTCAAGACGACGCCTAGGCGACAAGGCACCCTTGGAGGCTCGCCTTGCCCAGTTGCCAAGTAGTTGTATATTGTCTTATAAAATACTTTTATATTGTTATTTTTTTGAGATTATAATTATAAAATAGACATCATTAAACAAAAATATTCATTTTTTGTGTTTATAAACTACTTTCTTTTTGTTATTTTCTTATTCATTAGGGTTTAATCAATTAATCAACACAAACATTGCTAACTGCTGTATTGAACCCTCAAAGACTTAAAAATATGAACCAATAAGTAAGAGAAGAACTTAAAATTTTGTCTAATCAATACCACATTTCTTCTTCCACATTTTCTTTTCTTCTTTTCCTATAACAAAAATAGGGGTTCAGCCCCTATATTTTTTGAATTTTCTTTTCTTCCTTCTTTTTCTTCTCATAAATATGTCGATTTTCTAGACTTAAACATGAATTTTATAATTTGCTTATGAAAATTATGGATAGTTATTAAGGAAAGATGGTTATGGAACCTAGGGAAATACCCTAGCATATGTTGTTTTTACTTAAAAAGAATCCATTGCCTAGGCGCCCCCTGTCACCTTGCCTCGCCTTGGCGCCTAGAAGACTATGTTTGTTACAAGTGGAAGGGGCTGGAAGAGCTTGGGATAGATCTAAAAGGACATGGGTAGATGTTGTAAGAAATGGTTTTAGCACTAATAATTTAACATTTGATATGACTTTAAATAAAACAGATTGGCAAAACAAGATTCTTGTAGCCAACCCCATATAGTTGGGATAAGGCATGGGTGATTGATGGTGATGATATTTTGATTAATTTGGGAATACTCTTTAATTGGTATATGCATTTTACTTTTTTTTTTGAATTATAGTGACTTAGTGAATTATATCAAAATAGTAGGCCAATTACCCAATCAGAAATTTCCCATGGTTGTTTTAGGAAAATATTTTTAAAAGGTTATGACAATTTTAATGAAATATAACAAAGTTTTTAATAATATTCTAAAATTTTTAAAAAAATATAATCTATCAACGAAATTTGAGATATTATTGACATATTCAAAAAATATCAGAGATATTTGGGAAAAAAGGGTTCTTGGAAAATTTTGTATTGCCACCTAGAAAAATGGGGCTATTTTGCCAAGTATTGTCGACATTGTTAACCATGATAACATAATACAAACAAAAAGACTGTTAGGTCTTTTCTTTTTCGGTGGCAAGAGGTTTGCTAGAAGAGCTTTCATGGAATGGGAGAAAAGTGAAGGCATTGATAGACATAACCTGTACATTGATTTGTATTGGTTGATAGATGTTATTCATTTCCAAGTCAGGAATTAACATATCTTCAATAAGAAAATGTC